GGGAACATAAAACAACTACCTAATTTCTCTTTAAAGGAGAAAGAGCATTCTCGTTTGGTCTCTGGATTTCCCTCCATTAGGAATAAATAGATCAAAAGAAAATGCATCTTGGAGAGTTTATGGTTTTAAATCTGTGCTGGGGAGTTTATTACTTTTTTTTTTTTTTTTTTTTTTTTGGTAAACACACATTTAATCTTGACTGTAAATAATGTTTCACAAAAACACAGATAGAAAGTGNAATACCAGCTTTAACTCAGACATACTTCTACTGAAAATCTACATGTCTGCTTCCAATTCTGCCTGTGTGAGTTGGTCTTAGGGGGATTATTTTCATAGCCAAAGACAACTAGGTACAAAAATGTCTCTATCACCTTGCCCTTGTAATCTGCCCTTTTTGGGTCAAGAAAGGAAGGAGGACAGACACGCCTTAATTATCTGCTCCCAGCCCTAATATCATTATGGACAACTGCAGTTCCTCCAAACTTTGATTTATGAAAGTTTTCCTGGTAGGTGACTGTGCTGAGGAACCATTTATTTTCCTTCTGACTTGAGGTGTGATCCTTTTATAAACTACCTGCAGCAAATCTGGTGTCTGTTCATTACAGTAATTTAATGCTAATGACTTGCTTCACTGAACAGCAGAGAGGAAAAATAAGTAAAAATAATCCCAACAGATAAAAACGTCGTGACTCAAAGTCTTGCACAGGAAATGAATTCATATTTCAGTGTAAGGCTTCGTGAGGTTTTAATTTATAATGTAAGCTCATCTTAAATACTTCATGCATAGGTGTACATTTTGGACGGTTTTTTAATTTATTTTACCTTACTCATAAAGGCTCTATAACCAGCAACACAGCAGGGAAAAACTGAAGTTAATTTCTGCCCAATATTGCTGTAATTATCCTGACTTTATTTTTTCTCCTAGTCATGCTGTTTTGCTTATGAGCTTTGTATTGTTAATTAAGTGCTTTCTGTTTGCAGAAAAAAAAAAAAAAAGTGAACCAACAGATACCAAATCCTGGCTGGTTTAAAACATGTAAGTAACTTACAAGCAATACAAGCCTGACTTATATGGTCACATAGTACTCTTATACCATTTTTATTTTGTAGCTGGCTGTTCCCTAACATTTTATTGTTGCACATAAATATATTTGTACTGCTGCATTTTCGTGCCTGCTTCTGCACTGAGCCAAGTGGAAGCAACACAGATGCAATGTGGAAATTGAAAATGAAGATGATACATAATACTTACATAAAGCTTGACTAATCTTTATGCTGAAACTCAGCAAAAGCAGCCACATGAATAATACCACACATTCCTAATGCAGATTTTTTTTTTCCTTTGGATTGGCTGCAGTTGATGGCAGCTTATATGGAACTAGAAGGTCCATAAAAGTCAGTAATGGAATTACTGCAGTTTGAGATTTCACTGTGCTGGTTTTGAGGTCCTTGGCTGGCTTGTCACAAGGAATATCAGCTCTGTGCATATCAGCCACCATATTATAGATTTCTCTTTGTCCGGGGGGAAGGGCTGGGTTCAGACCTTGACTCCTTTCACTGAATTCTGCACCATTGTGAGCACTGAAGGAGGGTTTTAATCACCACCATAGTGCCTGATTCGCATTCCCAGTGGAAACACAATTTTTGGGAAGAATAATGTGAGTTCAAAAAAAAGAAATTAACGAAGAAGCATCACAAATTCATTGCTGAGGGGCTGGATCTGCCTGGCAGGCTGCACCACCATTGCCTGCTGCTCTGGTTGGGTTTTGGCCGTCAAAGAGTCAGCAAATTGTGCATTTCCAGGGAGAAGATTCTCCCTCAGACAAAAATACACATCCTGTGGCAGAGACAAAGCAGAAGCACAGAGTTGTGTCTGGTCAACTAAGGAATTTGGCTGAGCCACCAGCCACACCACTTATTCCATTTCAATCTCACTGCTGCTGCAGCCTCTCCTGCTAGCAGCAGGAATAAATTCACATTTGATATTTCTAGAGAAAACTAGGAAAACGCCTCAATTTGCTCTCACTGAAACAGATTTCTTCCACACCCATGCCTAAGCCACCAGGAGACAGTGATCAATCTAGTGAAGGGATGAGGAGAAAACACAATAGTATGGGTATTTTTTGTTTTGTTGGGGTTGTTTTGTTCTGTTGGTTTTTTGGGGGGCTATTTTGGTGGAGTTTTTGGTGTCTGTTTTGTTTTGTTTTAGTTTGGTTTTGTGGATTTGTTGGGTTTGTGTCTTTGGGTTGGTTTTTTGGGTTTGGTTTTTTTGGGTTTTTTTGCTTGTTTGGTTGGTTTTTTGGGTGGTTTTTTGTTTGTTTATTTGGTTGGTTGGTTTGGGTTTTTTGTTTTGTTTTTCTTGGTGTGGGGTTTTTTTTTGCCCTTTGAAAAAGAGTATAATACATTTTGGAATAGTCAGAAATACATTTTTCCCCCTCCTGGTGGAAGATCTCTCAGAGAAAAGATCAATATGGTGACTGATTGCTTTGAGCATCTCCTCACTACCTGTCACTGACCCCTGCATGGGATGCATTCACTCTGTGAGACAGGGCCTGTTGAGGAGTTACTGGGTTGGTTTTTAAAGTCTGTGCTCTATAAATCACTTTATGAGCACAATAGCCCCTCTTGACCTAGTAAAATGCATTAGTAAAACTCATAACTCACCTCCAGTGAGAGGATGACCATTTACTCTTCCCATTATCTAGGTCAGGGGAATCTTTGGAGAACTAATCACCTCACTGCTAAATGAAGGGAACTTTGACACCCCACCCCTAAACCTACACAATCTGGGGTGTTAAAAGCAGGTGGCCACTTTGGCTTGCCATTCATGTAATGTTACAGCAGGGTTTTTGTGAGGAAAGGTCCTGCTACAGCGGATAAACCTCCTGCCATGTTCTCACACCCTAGGTAAGAGAGAGACAGACAGGAAGGTGCTTTTAGGACACAGAAGATGAGGGAATCTGGCAACTTGCATCTGCTTTAGCCTGCTTTGGGAAGTTTCAGATTTTTGCTGCAATTTGTTTTTTATTTATTTATTATTTGCATGGGGAGGTCTCTGCGTTTCAAAGCTCTGTGTATTAAATAAGCAGAAATGTCCAGGACAAACTTAAATTACACTGACAGAAATCAAGGAGTTTGATTATCTTTCTGCCTAATTTTCCTCCTGGTATATAGTTCATTTTAGTTACTCTTTTTCTCTGCTGCTCTCAGCTTTGAAAGTACACCTTCATTTTCCTTCTAAACTGAAAACATATTCCCTTTATAAGATCACAAAGGATTGGAGGTTTTTTATGACCTTTCCTGCAACTGCACCCAACTGTTGGTTTCTGCACTAAAATATTGTGGGTGTAAGCTGAGAATTCAGGAAATAATGAGTAAAGATAAAAAACATCTCAATATGTTTCAAAAATGTTCTTGCTCAGGGTTTTCATTTGTCCTCAGCAAACAGGAAACAACTGGCAGGTTTACCATTATTACTCTAAATATCATTGCTGCTGCGTCTACTACTTATTATTGCTTTTGCCAAAAAGAAGCCTCATTTCATCAGAAAACAACCAAGCAAGCACAATGCCCCATCCTGGGCAGGGTCAGCTTTGCTTTCAGCTCCTTCCATCCTCAGCAGCTCTGGTCAGCACCACATCCAATTTGTGCAGCGCAAGCCTCACCAGGAGCCATCACAAAGGGAACAATTTCCAGAAGCTGGGCTCTAAAATCAAACTGTGATGCCTCAGCACCACTTGTCTTTCCTCTCAGAGGGTGGATTCAGAATGGCATCATTTTTATATCGTCTATATTCTTGCACCAAAGATTGAGAGGAGATCCAGACAGCAACCCAGAGGGAGCCAATTTCAGCTGGCCAGGGCCTGCTCTGGGTGCAGGACTCGTGCTAAATGCCATGTCATGTACCTTTTGTGGGGGATCTTGAGGAAGAAGGAAGATATCCTCAGGCTCAGAAACAAAATGTACATGCCTATCTCAATTAAAGCAATTTTGGTAGTCATCCCCCGACCCACCTCCCAGCAGTCAATTCTGTCCTGTGTCCTTTTCTCTGTGAGCAGGAGGAGGAGAACAAAACGCTGCTTCCCCCTACCCATTTTTAATACTGTACCTCCCTCCAGCGGCTCTGACACAGTTTAAAGGAACAGATAAGATGCACAGGAAAGACATTTTGTCCTGAAGCCAAGCTCTGCGAGTAGGTGCCTGTGTCACCAACAGGTACAAAATGCTTCTTCTCATTCATTTTGCCGAAGTGTTACTTGTATTTCACTTTTAATTACAAAAGAATTCCTAACTTTGCTTCATCTTTTCCCAAAATAAAATAAAGGAGGGAAAAGGTCATTAACAGTGTCAAGAGAGTGAACTTGTTTTGGTTTCTTTTCTTTTCCCGAGGACCAAAAACACCCTAAAACCAGGAAAACTTCATGAAGCTGCTATCTATAGTTGGCAAAAACTGAATTTTCATTGATAAGGGAGAAACAATTGTCCAGTTCACTTTTGAGTCTGGCACATAGGCAAGAATAGGCCAAAAGGTGACTCACAAATGTCTAAACACACCAGATGCTCAACAAGAACCATTCCTTCTTGTGGGCTTGAGAGGTAAACTGGGTTTTCAAGGCTCCTAAGATTGTTACCTCTCAAAAGCAAGAAGAAATAAATAAATTTCTGACCTATATTTAATATGTTGAGTCCAGAGACTTGCCCCACATCCCAGAGAATCTTCAACTTACCTCTCTTCCACCCTCAGCCAAGCTGGCTGGCATCCCAGGAATTTGCTGCAAAAAACCCACCACTCAGGTTTGCAGTGAAGCAAACCCACTGATCCTTAAAATTTGGTTTTGATTCCCTCCAAAATGAGGGGTTCTGCCCCATCCCACCCTTTCCCTGAGCTCCCACCCCCACATTGCCAAACCCCCATTGCAACCACAGAGCCTTTGTGATGCCTGCATGGAAGCAGGCAGGAATTTTCCCAGCCACAACCGAGATTTCAGGGTTGCACTGACCTCCAGCAGCGGCCTGGGCTTGCGCTCCACTGCAAAGCTGAAGTGGCACAGCTCACAGTAGCTGGTGTTGGAGGAGGACAGCCAGCGCTCCAGGCAGCTGCGGTGAATGGTGCCCAGGGTCCCCGTGCACTCACAGGGGGACAGCAGCTCCTCGTGGCTGCTGCCCTCATGGCAGATCCTGCACATGGGCCGCTCATTGAAGGGGCTGCTGCAGGACAGGGAGAGAAAAGGGATGGTCACTGCTGGAGGGTTGTGGTGGTGGGTTGGGCGGAGGGGAGAATTGAATCTGTTTTCCTAGAGGAGCCCTTTTTTGCGGTTCTCTCCAAAATCTGCTCTGAACCGGGACAAATACATTCAGTGGCGCCCAACCTGGGGCTTCTCCATCATGAACTACTTTCCTAGAGGAGCCCCTCTGGGGGGTTCTCTCCAAACTTTGCCCTGAACCAGGACAAATACACAGTGGCGCTCAATGGGGGGCTCCTCTGTCATGAACTGCTTTTCTAGAGGAGCCCCTTTGGGGGACTTTTTCCAAAATCTGCCCTGAACCAGGACAAATACATCCAGTGGCTTCTCTGTTGTGTACTGCTTTCCTAGACAAGCCCCTTTGGGGAGTTCTCTCCAAAATCTGCTGTGAACTAGGACTAATACATCCAGTGGCGTCCAACATGTGGCATCTCTGTTGTGAGCTAGAAATATTTGCATTGCTTTGACCTCTAATTAGTAATCCAAGCTGATGGGCTAGTGGTTTAAGGTGTTTTGGTGTTCTTGCTTAAAATATCTCTTTTATTAAGGGAGAGAAAAGTGTAGAGTGAAAAACATCAGAGAGGCAGATGAGAGGTGGAAGACCAAGTCCTTTTGTATTTTGTATTTCCCAGCTCTTCACAAAGCAGCAGTGCAGCCACCTCAGGAGATCCCAAAGTGCATCAGGGAGGTTGTAAATCTGCCTCAGCTGGTTACTTCTTGGTGATCCTCTGACATAAATATAGCCATATTTCTACCCACAGAGAAAAGCAAGGCACAATTCTTCCCCAGAATATTTCTGGGTTTCGCATTTTCTGAACCTCAGAGAAAGGAAAAGCAATTCTTACCTTATTTGCTGTGCCTGTGTTTGTGCAGAAGTAGAATGCAATATGGAGATTGTTTACCCAAGGTGATGGTGTTTTGTTTCCTTGGCCTATCGGGGCCAAGTGTGTGTGTGTGTTGGGTGACAGCCATGAAATTTTGTGGAGTTAGAGTGCAGTTGTGTGCAGAGTTGAGTGCTTGGCAGATTCAGTTTAGATATTATAGTAATAATATAATATAATATAATATAATATAATATAATATAATATAATATAATATAATATAATATAATATAATATAATATAATA